GTGGTATGATAGGGAGAGTTTTTAAATCCAACATTGGGCGCATAGGTAGTACCTGTTTCTAAATTTTTAGAAAGCTGTACATTCGGGGTATCGGCGTGCGACGTGTTCATACTCTTTCAACTTCTTTGTCCGACAAAAAGGGGTATTTGAAATATGTTGTCAACTGATACTCAACGGTCCCTTTTCGGCCTTTGAGAACTTTGTATGATCCGCTAAGATAGCTTCTTGCTTTGTAAGGAAACCATTAATATCTAGGAAGGGTAACGATTTTCTTGTACTGACTCTAAAATTAGCCTAAATGTACACTTTAATTACAGATGTAGTTTTAGCCGAAAATCTGCCAGGACCTCTAACCCCATAATTGACACTAAACATAATATTCACAGACTTACCTTCCGTTAATTTCCTTATTTTGCACTATGAAGCAATGCAATCTTAAACTTGTAAACCGAGTGCTAAAGTGCGACAATCCCAAGGTGACTGTTTCAAATATATAATGAAATTTCTACTTTGGCGCTTCACCCATGTAGAGCATACTGAGGGTTTATAGCCCCTTTAGGACATTAAAACGCCAAATGTATGGATACAATTAGCAAAAATTGAGGCTAACTACCAAATTCGCAAATAAATACTGATTTCAGCCTTTAATTCGCGAGATCAACTGTCAGCACATCATTTTCTCTAAATAATCATTATGGGACTAACAACAAATCGTATAGCAGGAGAAGTCCTTCCTCAATAGACTTTCTATAGAAGGCTGCGTTAAGAGCTGCAGCCCAGCTCATCCATAAGCATGTACCAACCAAAACGATGCAGCCTTTTCCGTGCTTTTATCGGGTGCTCGAACACTGAGTGATTCCGTTTAGTTCAATTCCCTGTATTTAGAGAAATCATGTTTACACAGTCCAATGTAGACAATCGAATTCTGTTTAACTGGTGTGTTGGTCCCGAACAGAAGGAGCTGCAAGGAAGGCCACAGATACCCCAGCTATCTTCACTTTTTTTAAATCGGTGAGCCAGAAATTAATTCGGGGCTAGCATATATGACCTCTTCGCAAGGACGTTGTGACGACAGCTCACAGTACATATAGCTCCGATTCCCAGTATAAAGATTGAAAATACACAGACGCGAGTTATATCCTTCATCAGGTTTAATAATCACGTTTAAGGTTTATGACTACAATTTGGTTCAGTTTTCCAAGCGTTACATGTATCTTCGACGATTGTGCATCCGTTGATCATTCCAGATTTCATTGAATGATGGCAGATACGATCCGGCAGTGAAGACTGCAATCGCCTTGTCCGGCCTTCCCACCGATTTCAGATATTTCTACAAAAAATCAAGACAATTGCCGAAATTAGTTCCGATACGGGGAAATTTTCAAAAGACTGCTCCTAATCTTAGATAATCTGACTGATGTTTCCAGGGCCGGAATCGACGCGCAAAACAAACATGACACTTATGAGCATCAAGCGACATTGACTAGCAGGCCTATGGTGCATAACCTGGCATCGGAATTGCTGCCCCCTACCCCCTTAGTGTATTGAAATCTTCGTCAAGAGTTGGCTGTAATCAGGTTGTGCATGATAGGGTCTATGATACAGGGGCCTAGGTTGCGTGAGCTGGCTTCCGTGTTACCGATCCCATTGGGTGTTGTTTGTACGCGTATGTGCTGGCTTAGGCACCATCCAGCCGTAGCCTTTATGGAAGTCCTACTCTTAGAGCTCAGATTCTGATCAAGCGGCTCCGATTTTTGACCGGACACAAGCCGGCGAGATAAAGACAGGGTGCGGGAGATGCAATGCATATATAGTATTACTTAAACCTTATCCACGCGCAAGTCGCCGGCACTGCGGCATGCTGTGCAGGCCACGGTGGACATCGTCGAAATCGACGCCCGAACTGTCGCCTGAAGGACAATTGAGCAACGATTGCTCAGTCCAGTTCGCATGGTTTTTCTTGATATGGCTTCGCTAATACGGAATGCAGAAAGCATATGTGCACATAGAAAAATTTTGCTGCGAATTCGTGCACACAAAAATGCCAGGGTTTACGGACGCATAAACTTACCTCTGCTTCGACCCATACACCTAGACTTTCAGTTGCTGAGGCCCCTGGACCGATATAAACGTAGAGAAGATTCAAATCCTCAATGAACGTGACGTCATCTTCGTTGATACCATCGCGGTAGATCTTTCCGCTGTAGATCTTCGTCAGAACCAGTTTGCCTGACTGGTCAGAGAGACTTTAGTGGGGGAAGGAAAAGTAAGGTATGATTGCGTTTTGTTGTTAGTTAACAATTATTGAAAGGGCATACTAACTAAACAGCAGACTAAAGTAAAACTAAGTGAAAAGTACATTAAAGTAAAGTGAGTAAAAGAAACATTAAGCGTACACTAATAAAAAAAAGGTAACCATAGTCAAGAAAAACTGTAGAAGCATAATATCTGAAAAGCCCTCCAATCCATGATTATATGAAATAATAAAAACAAAACACGCGTACTGTAACAAAATAGTTATGTATATATGTAAAGTACACTACATTTGCTCTATACACACACATTTCCCGACGCAATTATTGTAATTTAACCAGTGTCTCGTGCTAGCGTATTTCAAGATTTACAAGCCTGCCTGCTACTCTTTCAAGCAAGCTTGCATTCTTCAATCTCAAAGGCCTCCTTTACGGATACGTAACTTAAAAATAAATAATGAAGCTGCCGTTTCCTGTTAACACTTTCGGTTTTAGGTTCAAAATATGGAGAAGTAAACCAAAAGGTGAGTGGTGGTGTTTTGTAAACTCCCTTTTTAAAGGCGAGCATTGAACCAAGAGGCAACTGGGTACGGAAATATGACGAATGGCTTACAGGTAAGAAGCGTTAAATGTGTTTGTTTCCTGCAAATTGTGACTTACCGCAACATTGTCTTCTGAAATCCTTGCTTCCTTCGTTTAAACTCCACGGGAGGTACATCCGCATCACCCAATCTCGAATGGAGTTCATTCTGTGTTATCAAAGGAAAGTATAAATAAACTTTAAAAAAATTAGTGAAAGAAATATTTAGGAATAGATTGGTAATTTAGCAGTAAAATAGAAAAGGGGAACAAGGACAATTGGTCCACGAACTACTGGAGAACACTTCCCGTGGGGAAACAATCTTGAAAGTTTTGTTCGTCAGTGTCAGCTCTGCTTACCAAAAATGGCCACCTTGGCACTCGCAAATTTAGCGCGCTCTAGAGCGAACCGACAATTTCATTCATGTAAAGTTTTAGAATAGGCTCAGGTCCTTGGCCATTTCAACCCTTCGAAACACTCGGGTGCGTCAGAAAATCACATTGTCTGAGCCAAATAACTAGTCAGGTTTAAGACACCATGGAACATTCCCTCAAAATGGTCCTATGAATATTCTAGTG